CGCTCCCAGTAATTGAGGTGTTTTATCTCCGTTATGCGCGCCATGAAGGTTCTCTCTACATTTTCTAGGTCAGCAATTTCACCCGCCTTTAAAGGTGCTGTTAGTGTGCAGCAATATTCCAGCCTAGATAGAACAAGTGGCCTGAAGAGTGTCATCATGGGTTGGCCTCCCTAGTTTTGAAGGTTCTCATTATCCATCCTGTCATTTTTCTAGCAGATGCGATTGATACAATGTTATGGTCCTTGAAGGTGAGATCCTCCGACATGATCACTCCCAGGTCTTTGACGTTGGTGTTTTGCTCTATTTTGTGGCCAGAATTTGTTTTGTACTCTGATGAAGATTTAATTTCCTCGTGTTTACCATATCTGAGTAATTGAAATTTCTCATCGTTGAACTTCATAGTTTTCTGCAGCCCACTGAAAGATTTGGTTGATGTCCGGCTGGAGCCTTGCAGTGTCTGCAATGGAAGACACTGCCATGCATGCAGATTCGGGTGTCATCTGCAAAGGAAGACACGGTGCTGTGGCTGACATCCTTGTCTATGTCAGATATGAGGATGAGGAACAAGATGGGAGCGAGTACTGTGCCTTGTGGAACAGAGCTTTTCACCGTAGCTGCCTCGGACTTTACTCTGTTGACGACTACTCTGTGTTCTGTTAGTGAGGAAATTATAGATCCATCGACCGACTTTTCCTGTTATTCCTTTAGCACGCATTTTGTGCGCTATTACGCCATGGTCACACTTGTCGAAGGCTTTTGCAAAGTCTGTATATATTACATCTGCATTCTTGTTGTCTTCTAGTGCATCTAGGACCTTGTCGTAGTGATCCAATAGTTGAGACAGACAGGAGCGACCTGTTCTAAACCCATTTTGCCCTGGGTTGTGTAACTGATGGGTTTCTAGATGGGTGGTGATCTTGCTTCTTAGGACCCTTTCAAAGATTTTTATGATATGAGATGTTAGTGCTATCGGTCTGTAGTTCTTTGCTGTTGCTTTACTGCCCCCTTTGTGGAGTGGGGCTATGTCTGTTGTTTTTAGTAACTGTGGGACGACCCCCGTGTCCATGCTCCTTCTCCATAGGATGGTAAAGGCTCGTGATAGGGGCTTCTTGCAGTTCTTGATGAACACGGAGTTCCATGAGTCTGGCCCTGGGGCAGAGTGCATGGGCATGTCATTTTTCGCCTGTTCGAAGTCATTTGGCGTCAGGATAACATCGGATAGGCTTGTGTTAACCAAATTCTGTGGCTCTCTCATAAAAAATTCATTTTGATCTTCGACTCTCAGTCTGGTTAGCGGCTTGCTAAAAACTGAGTCATAATGGGACGTGAGTAGCTCACTCATTTCCTTGCTGTCATCTGTGTAGGACCCATCTTGTTTAAGTAGGGGCCCAATACTGGACGTTGTTCTCGACTTTGATTTGGCATAGAAGAAATACTTTGGGTTTCTTTCGATTTCATTTATGGCTTTCAGTTCTTCCCGCAATTCCTGACTCCTATAAGATTCCTTTAGCTTAAGTTCGATGCTTGCTATTTCTGACCAGTGTCTCCCTACGCATTTCAGATATATTGACCTCTTTTAGCCGCTCTGTTATTCTTTTCCGTCGCCTGCAAAGGGAACGCCTGTCTCTTTCTATTTTACATCTATTCCTCCTTTTTCTTAGAGGAATAAGCTTTGTGCATACATCGAGTGCCACCAAGTTAATCTGTTCTAGGCATAAGTTGGGGTCTGTGTTGCTTAGTATATCGTCCCAGCTTATATCGGTTAGGACTTGGTTTACTTGGTCCCACATTATGTTTTTGTTATTGAAGTTGAATTTGGTGAATGCTCCCTCATGACCAATCTCATTATGTCGGTCTGGGGCTCCGCGCATACATGTCTGAACCTCAATTATGTTGTGATCTGAGTATATTGTTTTTGATATGGTGACATTTCTTATCAGATCATCATTGTTAGTGAAGATGAGGTCTAGTGTATTCTCCAGTCTAGTAGGCTCTATTATTTGCTGGTTTAAATTGAATTTTGTGCAGAGATTTAAAAGCTCGTGTGTGAGTTTTCATCAGAGCTGCCTCCTGGTGTTATTTCTGCAACAATATTATTTGCTATATTCCTCCATTTTAGGTGCCTTAAGTTGAAATCCCCCAGGAGCAAGATGTTGGGTGCAGGAGCTGGAAGATTTTCCAGACAGTGGCCAATTTTTAACAGTTGTTCCTGGAATTGCTGGGATGTTGCATCCGGAGGCTTGCAGACTACCACAATGACTAGGTTTTGGTTCTCGATCTTTACTGCTAAAACTTCCACTACATCATTTGAGGCATTAAGCAGTTCTGTGCAAACAAGTGACTCTGCAATGTACAGGCCAACACCCCCCCCCCCCCTTTTGCCTGTTCACACTGTCACATCTGTATAGGTTGTAACCTGGGATCCATATTTCGTTGTCCAAGTGATCCTTTATGTGGGTCTCAGTGAAAGCCGCAGTACTAATAACAACAGTAGTGTAATTATTAGTATCAAGATTTCCGGTAATACCAACGGCGGTAGTGATAATGCTAATGGTGGTCGTATTAGTACTGGCAATAATAGAAGTGCTGGTAGTCAGTCTAGCAGCAAGTCCTGGTAGTAGTGGAGGTAGTAGTAGTAACATTAATAGTAGTGATAGTAACAATAATCGTAGCTGAGTGTCAGTACAAAAAACAGTGGGGAAATTGCAACAAGTTAACCTTCAATAATCAAGTTCAACAGGAGCTTACAATAGACATGAAAATAAACTACAATATTCCTGTTGGCCAATGCTAGGTATGAAATTAAATAATTCTGGCTAAGAGACTGACCATCTACTACCAAGGTTGGAGGATAGAGCTCAAAATTAACTCTCCAATTTAGTCTCCAAGACTGCTATCACCTCTGTAGTCGACAGATAAAGCCTACTCCCCAAGCGAAACATTTCGTGAATAATGATACCTGTCGCAATGTCTCTTACCAACTTGGTATTGTACACCATTTATAATGCGAAAACGATAAAAGAAATCTGGTCCAGGAAAAAAGGTACTAAGGCCAAGTGCAGTCGAAAGTGGTCTCAACACAACCCAGGTTATACCAAAACGTCTAAAGTTTCCTCCTCCCCAAGTGTCAGTTTTGTGAACTTGGTAAACAAAGCAACCTTAGACTTGCCAAAGGCATAAAATACGTAGAACACCCACCGCAACCACTACCCAAAGCCCGAAACCCACCAGCATCCCCACAGAAACCACGTGCAATAACAGATTCCACACAGCTTCTGAAGGTCGTTGGTGGGTTCCCAGGCCCACAGTTCTACGTAATCTATGCCTTCGGGGGAGATTACTCTCCCCTGCTATATGCATTCATAACGCATATAGCAGATTCTCCAGTTCTATACCTTACCTATCCTACTTAACACCACCTAATTCTTTAGGTTATTTTGATAATAGAAACTAAATACTTGTAGACCTACAAAGTGTTATATATACACCACAATTATGCAGCATAGTCCAGGTATAGGCCTGACTAATTTGCAGAGCAGTGTGGATGTAGGGGGAATGAAGGGAGGCAAAGGCAAGATCATGAGGGGTCTAGGCAAGATCAAGAGGGGTCCAGGCAAGATCAAGAGGGGTCCAGGCAAGATCAAGAGGGGTCTAGGCAAGATCAAGAGGGGTCTAGGCAAGATCAAGAGGGGTCTAGGCAAGATCAAGAGGGGTCTAGGCAAGATCAAGAGGGGTCTAGGCAAGATCAAGAGGGGTCTAGGCAAGATCAAGAGGGGTCTAGGCAAGATCAAGAGGGGTCTAGGCAAGATCAAGAGGGGTCTAGGCAAGATCAAGAGGGGTTTAGGCAAGATCAAGAGGGGTCTAGGCAAGATCAATGGGGTCTAGGTAAGATCAATCACCCTACCAAGTCTCTCTAAATATATACTGTATAACCCAATTTCAAAACAAATGCCCTCCCCCCAAGACGCTCTAATACAGGCTCTTGAGTCGTAAGCGCTAAACCCACAAATATTTTTGGGACTTCAAAGCATAAAATTACTTGCCCAGGCCCTCTACAACCCTACTGAAAATAGGAAGATGTTAATTCCACATTTCTGATGAATTGTTATTGATTTTTCTGGCTATAATATATTCTGCCTGAGGAAAATTTATCCCGTCATGTGAAGCTAAAACTTTGGCTGTGTAGTTTTAAAAATAGACAAATGAGTGGTTGAGAGATTTTAACTTGCCTAACATTGGCCAATAGGCCTACTTCATTGCTCCTTTATGTCTTAATAATGGATATGCCTGATTTAATAGGTTTTCCTTATACCCGGCATCAAGACCTCTACCATTACCCTCGCCACACTAAACTATCTCAGTATAATTATTAACCAGGTAGATTAACACAATTACACAAGTCAGGATGACATCTGACATTTTTATTAGGGTATCTATACTCCCCCAGGATGCGACACCTACCAGTAGGTCTGCTGCAGTGTTCCTCTATGTGAACAGTGCCAATGAATATAAGGGAACATGCCCACTTGTGGCAGGGATCGAATCCCGGTTCTTCAGTTGATGCCACTACCAACCGAGCCATGATATGTCACTTACACATTTCATCTCTTCCTACAATCTTGCAGGATGGGTGCAGACTGCATAATTACACTAACTAAAACTTCGTAAAATATAATTAGTCTTCAATTCTAAGCTTTACAACCCATTTCTTCAATTTTTATTTCCACCCCATTCAAGGTAACCTATAAAATACATTCCCTATTATTTCCTGGCCAGAGATTTCATCTCAGGTGGGGAGTTTACCTGGAGTTTACCTGGAGAGAGTTTCGGGGATCAACGCCCCCGCGGCCCGGTCTGTATAAGCTAATATTTCCCACTAAGCTACTTTTGATATCAATTATTTACTATCTTTCCTGTACTCTCCCCACCAGCCTACTACCTAACACAAGTACTATCTGCTTCAATAACCAAACTTTAGTAGACTTATAACCTGGAAATACCTTAGTGGGCCCCGTCCACCTCTGACGACGTTTCCAGCTGCTGTATCTCCACATACCTGGAGTAACCCTCTCCAGGTATACTCCAGGTATAACATTAAATGTTATGGGTCAGACCATTTACTAGTGTGGTTGTCTCCACCCCTCAGACTGGTCAAAGTTGCTGTGTTGATCAGTGTTGCAGCAGACATAGCCAGGCACAGCAATCCTCAGTTACCACACCTGTAACAAAACATTCACATTATAACCATGAACATTATACACATTTATAGGTAAACATCATCATGTAATATAAATTAGTAATATTACTGCCTGACTGATATACCTATCAATGTTTAACATAGTAAAGCTATCTTTTTCTTTAATATTTCTTTCACATAAACCTGATGACTAAATTTATTTACATGGAAGTCTATATCTGGATCACAAGGCGCAAGTTCCTTGGATCAAGAGACCTTCACTAAGTTATTTTTAAATAATGGAAAAAAATAGCGCAGAACTGGATACACCATTATGCGTTGTGTAACGCCTAGCGTGAAAGTTATTGTTTGATCAGAGGAAGGGGAGTAGCTCCAGTTCCTCGCATCAAAACCCCTCCACTAAAGTCAACCCCCCTCCAAGACATTAGACCTCATTAAAATATTAATAATTTAGTGACCAAACTGGTGGTGGGGACCAGGAGCTGCAGCTCAACTCTGCTGTTGTACTGACAAATACGTCACCAGAAATACTTACGTTATTTAGATGTTTTAAAAGAATGAGGAAGCGGTAAAACCGGTGGGGTGGCAGAAGGAGCAACACGTCTCTCCTGTACGACCACTAAAGTTCAACTGATTTTTAGTGACCTTGAGGTTGGTCACTGTCCTGACCTTCACTATAACACCATCACTGATAACCTGACTGACTATGACTTCCACCACTAGATAGCACTACACCACCATTAGATGGCACTATTACACCGTCACTATCAGTACTACACATGGTGGAGCGCTAAACCTGTGGGGGTCATGGACCACCTGGGATAAGATAAGATAAGATAAGATTTCGTTCGGATTTTTAACCCCCGGAGGGTCAGCCACCCAGGATAACCCAAGAAAGTCAGTGCGTCATCGAGGACTGTCTTAACTTATTTCCATTGGGGTCCTTAATCTTGTCCCCCAGGATGCGACCCACACCAGTCGACTAACACCCAGGTACCTATTTGCTGCTAGGTGAACAGGACAACAGGTGTAAGGAAACGTGTTGAAATGTTTCCACCCGCCGGGAATCGAACCCGGGCCCTCCGTGTGTGAAGCGGGAGCTTTAGCCACCAGGCCAGGTGGCATAAATCACATTCTTTGGATGTGACCTATGCCACCACTACCTTCAAGGAACCTCTCTCAAGGTCACCACTCTCACCACCAGTGGCGCTCAACTCCACTACTATTGTACCGCTAGTACTCTACATGAGAGTATACCTGGAGTATACCTGGAAAGGATTTCTGGGGTCAACGCCCCCGCGGCCCGGGTCTGTGACTAGGTCTCATAGTGGATCAGGACCTGATCAACCAGGCTATTACTGTTGGCCGCAAGCAGAGGGACATTATTGTGCCACTAGTACTCTACATGAAGGGAGATTATTTTACCCCTAGTACTCTACATGAAGGGCAGATTATTTTACCAAAGTTGTGCTCTCTCCCCCCTAGTACTATGATTGCTTTGCTTCTCAGCCTTGACAAAATTGGCAGCAAGATATTCTGGACACTGTTTGTGAGCAGTTTTATAAACTTGATTTAACTTCTGTTTTACTGTCTTCAACATTCAACATTCAACATATCCGATTGTTGTAATTCATCCTGGCCTACATGAACTCCTGGATCCAGGTCCAGGATGAATCTTACCATTTTGCTCTGGGTGATTTGTAGTCAATCTTTCAGTTTTTTTTTTTTTTTTTTTTTTTTTGTCAAGGAGTAGTATCATGAAGAGCAAGCGTAGCCCATATGACATTTTATAATAGTTAGACATAGGGTCTTGCGAGGCCCTTCAGTCTTGATACATTTGATGAGTTCAGGGCTCTTGTCTCCCAGGATGCGACCCACACCAGTCGAGTAACACCCAGGTACCTATTTACTGCTAGGTGAACAGGGACAGCAAGTGTAAGGAAATATGTCCAAAATTTTCACTCGTACTGGGGATTGAATCACGAACACTCAGTGTATGAGGCCAGAGCGTTGCCAACCGAGCCACTTTCAATGCACAAGGAGCTGAATGACCCCTTCATCTCACTGGTCTGGAAATTTGATAGTTCCCTCCTGCCATCCTCGCATCACCTGCTTTCTCTCGTTGAGAACTCAACACTCAGCTGCCTATGGTCAAAGTAACTTTTTTGCTTTTGATGTTGGAAATACATGATGTTTAATATTCATGTCGCGTACAGTTCACAAGAGCAGATTTGATGCGTCAGGACTTCATGCGAATGCTAAGCGGTGGTTTGGAAAGAGAACCACAAGGAAATAAGTCCATAAGTCATTTTGTCTGACTTTTTGGAGTTATTCTAGGCAATTTACACTATATACGATAATTGTACTTATGTGCACCTGTACCTAAAGAAAAATTACTTGTGTTCTTGCCTAATTGGGGTTATACAGGTCGATTCACAGCTCCTGGCCCTGTCTCTTAACTGGTCGTTACAGGACTCACTCCTAGCATTGTGAGCCATGTCATACTTTTTGTAATAGCTATTTAACTTCCTGACCATTCTAAGCCTAAGAAAATCTTGACATCTCTATGACTCATACGTGCCATTTAAATTTCATCTGAGAGAGAGAGAGAGAGAGAGAGAGAGAGAGAGAGAGAGAGAGAGAGAGAGGTTACTCTGCTGCTGATCTGTTGTTAAACCTCTCCACTAAGTGGCACCAGTCACTGGATGAATCCAAAGTCAGCTGTGTGGTAGCACTGGACATTGCTGGCGCTTTCGACCGGGTGTGGCACCAGGGCCTCTTAGCAAAACTTCAAGCACTGGGAATTGCAGGCTCTACGCTATGTCTCCTCAGTGATTACCTTCATGGTAGATCTCTAAGTGTAGTCCTCAATGGAACGGAATCAGCAAGACATCCTATTGGGGCAAGCGTTCCACAAGGAAGTGTGCTGGGTCCACTGTTATGGAATGTCTTCTTCAACGACCTTCTTCATCTCATCCCAGAATCACATGCATATGCAGACGACTGTACACTGACATTCACTTATCCAAGAGAAGAAATGCCAGCTGCTCTAAGCTACATCAATCACCAGCTGAGAGCTATATCAGCTTGGGGAAATAGATGGCAAGTAACATTTGCACCTGAGAAAACGCAAATGATGATCGTCTCTAGGCACCATGATGGTAATGCTGGTGCAGTAGTAAGGATGAATGGGAGGATGTTGGCACCTGGAGAAGAAGTTGATATCCTTGGGGTGAAATTTGACTCCAAACTAACCATGAAGAACCATGTTGTAAATCTTGCAAACAAGGCAGCCAGGAAGCTTACAGCACTTCGCCGTATCTCGCACCTGCTTGACAGTAGGGGTTGCAAGATACTGTACGAGGCACAAGTACGCTCACACCTTGAGTATGCTCCACTTTCTTGGTTTGCCTGTCCCCCTCTCATCTGCGACTGCTTGACAGAGTAGAGAACAGAGCAAGACGTCTCATCTCTCGCCTGGATCCATCCTGGATGGATCTGTCATTTCAGCAGAGCCTTCAACATAGGAGGGATGTGGGTGGCCTTACTGTTATGTACAAGGCCAATATTGTCAAAATACCACACTTGGATCCACTTCGAGGACAGCGCGAAACAAGCTTTTATGCCACAAGACGGGCAGAAAGCAGCAACTTCACTCTGGCTGTACCCTTCTCCAGAACATCACTCCATCTGAGATCATACATACCCAGGATGACTCGAGTATGGAACACATTCGTTCAGCATAATGATGTCAACGAGATAACGTCAGTTGATCAAATGAAAATGCTGGCCCACAGATGGCTCCAACTTCATCCTGTTCCCTACTTGTATGTCTCATAACAATAAAAATGCTTTCAAATGAGCTGATGTAGGTAACAGCTCTTAGCTTGTCAATAAAGTTAGGAATCCTTAACCTGTAAATAGCTTGTCAATAAAGCTAGGGATCCTTAACCTTGTCAAACCATGTGTAAAAAAAAAAAAAAAAAAAAAAAAAAAAAAAAAAAAAAAAAAGAGAGAGAGAGAGAGAGAGAGAGAGAGAGAGAGAGAGAGAGAGAGAGAGAGAGAGAGAGAGAGAGAGAGAGAGAGAGAGAGAGAGAGAGAGAGAGAGAGAGAGAGAGAGAGAGAGAGAGCAAAATAATATTAGGGAGGGAGGAGGATTTGATGGGCGTGGCTGGAAAGAAATCGGGTATATATACAAGATGCGGCCAGCTATGGTCGTCACTCTAAAGATAAACCTCAGGCAAGTAGCCCTGGTCTGGGTGCTTGACAGTGATATCTTTACACACACACACACACACACACACACACACACACACACACACACGACCCTGTACACCGTGTATGTCAGGCCTATATTGGAGTATGCAGCACCAGTTTGGAACCCATACCTAGCCAAACATGTAAGGAAATTAGAGAAAGCGCAGAGGTTTGCAACAGGACTAGTCTCGGAGTTAAGGGGCATGTCCTACGAGGAGAGGTTAAGGGAAATCGACCTGACGACACTGGAGGACATCAGAGATTAGGGGGGATATGATAACGACATATAAAATACTGAGAGGAATTGACAAGGTGAACAGACAGGATGTTCCAGAGATGGGATACAACAACAAGGGGACACAGTTGGAAGTTGAAGACTCAGATGAATCACAGGGATGTTAGGAAGTATTTCTTCTGTCACAAAGTTGTCAGGAAATGGAATAGTCTGGGAAGTGATGTAGTGGAGGCAGGATCCATACATAACTTTTAAGAAGAGGTATGATAAAGCATAAAGAGTGACCTAGTAGCGACCAGTGAAGAGGCAGGGCCAGGAGCTGTGTCTCGACCCCTGCAACCACAACTAGTCGAGTACACACACACACACACACACAATGGAGCCAGGAGCTATGAATCGACCCCTGCAACCACAAATAGGTGAGTACACACACACACATGTACGTGTCTGTACTGTAGGTACATATATATACAAACTAAATATACAAACAGAAACTAATCAACATGGTTGACTGATATCCGTAGTTTTGGATATCATTTAACACATTTGACTGATATCCATAATCACAACCACTGATAGATTGTAGTGACCAATGTCTGCCTTCCTCCTGCAGGAATGAACTCCGTGTGTCCTGGCATGATGTTCCTGATGCTATCAAGTGTACTCATCTTGACAGCCATGGCAGCCGCTCGCCCACTCTGCTTCGATGAGGTGATCATATTTCCAGTTTTTATATCCAGCACTTTTATATATCTCACAAGGGTAGGATGAGCCCCCAAAAAAAACTCGCTGACCATCCTTCATTTTGTCTTGCAAGAGGTGTGTAGATACCATTTCAAATGACTCTCCAAAACTGCAGTATCACTCATCCCTTCTTCAGAGTGCAGGCATTGTACTGTCCACCTCCAGGATTCAAATTCAGTCAACTGATTTCCCCTGAATTCCTTCATAAACGTTGTCTTGCTCACATTCCAGCAGCATGATAAGCAATAAAAACTAATCGCCATTCCCGTCCAACAGGCTCACATTCCTGCTGGATGCTTAAGCCCCTTGCACTCAATCTCCTTTACCAACTCTCTTGGGTGAGCCCCCCCCCCCACAAAAAAAAAACACTTTCATCATTCATTCCATCATTGTCTTGCCAGAGGTGAGCCGATACCACAGTTCAGATGCCCCTCCAGATTGAAAATATCCCCACTCCTCCTTCAGAGTACTCAAGTCTGGCTAACTGCATTCCCTGAATCCCTTCAAAAATGCTACCTTGGTCATACTGCAACATCTCATCAGGTCCCAAAAATCACTTGCCTCCATCACTCCTAATATGCTTACACACATCTGCTGAATGTCCGAGTGCCTTGCACACAAAACCTTTACCCCTTCCCTCCAACTTTACTTAGGGTGACTCCTATCCATCCTTCCTTTCACTCCCAAATATTGAGATCCCAAGAAGTTGCAGGTCTGACAGGATTGTAGATGAATGGTTCAGGGAACCGACACATTGATAAATTAGACACATGTGCAACTCTTGGATATCTTTATTGAGGAAAAGAAGTTGCAACTTCTTGGGATCTTAATACTTGGGAATTCTTCGCTTGCCTAACCCTTGGGCATGACCTACATCCTTTCACTACAGATTTATATACCCTCCAAGTCATTCTTATTTTGCTCCATCATCTCTACATGTCCAAATCACATCAACAACCCCCATCCTTAGCCCTCCAAGCTACAAATTCTTTGCATAATATTTACACCACACATTGTCCTCAGACATGACATCTCCATTCCCTCCGGCTTCCTCCTTGCTGCAACATTCACATCCCAAGCTTCACACCCATATAAGAGTGTTAGTATCACTATACCCTCATACATTCCCCTTTTTGCCTCCATGGATAACATTCTTTGTCTCCACAGATGCCTCAATAGACCATCCACCTTTTTCTTCCCTTCATCAATTCTATGGGTCACCTCATATGTTATGAACCCGTCTGCCGACAAGTCCACTCCCAAATATCTCAAGATATTCATTTTCATTACCTAATTTTTTGTTACCCTCATCACCCTGCTCTTTCCTTTGTTCACCTTTAATTTCCTTCTTTTACATACCCTCCCAAATTTGTCCACCAACCTTAACAACTTCTTTTCAGAATCTCCCAAAAGAACAGTGTCATCAGCAAATAGCAACTGTGACAGCTCCCATTTTGTATTAAATTCCACATTTTAATCCCACACCTCTCGCCAACACCCTAGCATTCATTTTTATTACATCCCCATCTATAAATATGTTTAACAACCATGGTGGAATGGTGAAGGCTAGAATTTAAGACTTGGCGCTTCTCAAACACAGACGTTACTTCTAAAATACAGAGGTCAAAGAGCTACAACAAGTGTATACATATATGCTGTACATGACTCATAAATCCTAGACTTGCTCAAAATTTATATTTCCCCGAGTTTTTAAATTATTATTATTATTATTATTATTATAATCAAGGGGGAAGCGCTAAACCCGGAGGATTATACAGCACCTGGGGGGGGATGTGGAAGGCATTCAGGCTTAATTCGGGGAACTGGAGCACAGATCCAATTCCCTAAATCAAGAGCCCCTCACCAACATCAAGGAACCTTCCTTGAGGGGCCGAGTTTTTAAAAACATTAGAGATTCCACAGCAAGGCAGCTGATATTAATACAAACATAATTAATAATATTGCTGAAACATTGTCATTATCTGTATTGTGCTTCCTATTAACTTTAAGCTTATATTGCAGGAGACTGAGGAGTTGGAGGGTTCACTTCCACTATTGCTGCTGTCTCTACCACCACACCACCAAGCCACAAAAGGCATGGCACAGAAGCGCAATTCAGAGCTTCTTAACACTCTTCTCGGGTCACAGGGTCTCAGCCACATGCGCAGTGCAGGCAGACGCTAATGTCATGGTGATAATGTGCTCTTATGCACTATCATTGAACATCACCGTTAGGTGTAGATAACCAGCTTTTGAAACATGGAATAGATTTTTTCAAATATTTGCATACAAATTTCTTATAGACATCTTTAGCTTGAGCATTATTGAGGGTGTGATGTGATCAGACATGAAGGGTGACACCAGCACATCTCTTAATCATATAATAAAACTTGAATCCTACTTTAATTTTGTTTAATGTTCTATATATCCATTACTTTCTCATGGGGAAATGGATTAGAATCCTTCCTCAGTAAGCCATGTGTGTTGTAAGATGCAACTAAAATGCCAGGAGAAAGAGGCTAGTAACCCCTTCTCCTGTATACATTACTAAAAAGAGAAACTTTTGTTTATATTTTTGGGCCACCCTGCTTCACTGGGATATGGCCAATTTGTTGAAAGAAAAAAAAAAAATTTTGTTTTTCTTTTAAGGTCACCCTGCCTCAGTGGGAGATGGTCGTTGCATTGAAAAAATATCCATTACTCGTTGAAAATGCCATTTTAAGATCTAGATACTGTATACTTAAAGACCTAAATGACAATAAGTATAATTGAATGTAGTATAATATTGTAAAAGTTTAAAATTATGTACGAGAATCTAATTGTTTGGAAAAAGCATAAGTTGTCCAACGTTTTAGCTTCCGACAAAGGTTTCGTTCAGGAGCCAAAAAGCCTCGAGCTCTATTTCTATCCATTATAGTTTACTTGCATACATGAGTGGCTGACTGATTCACTGTGTACTCGCCTATACATGTATATGGTTACAGGAGTCAAATCACAGTTCCTGTGTGTGTGTGCATGCTTGTGCGCGCTTGTGCATGCATGTGCGAGTATGTAGAACTACAGTATTTATTTTACATTTTTATTTCTGTACTAAATTATAATGACTGTCATTTAAATTAATTTTATCTATTTTTTTTAATAACACATTGGCCATTTCCCACCAAGGTAGGATGGGTTGAAAAATCAAATTTTCATCATTTAATTTATAATACACTATTCCATAACAATGTATGACTGAAATGCACATATAATTACAGCCTACAAAAATAATAATAGAATTAAATTAATCTATATATTTATATACATTACTTTGTGAGGTAAAGAATATTTACCTTGTAGAAATTTTCTATTTATTTTCAATTTTAAATCCACATTACATCACAAACATAAATACAAAATTTGATAAAAAATTAGGTAAAAATGTAAAGTAACACAGCAAGGAATAAGGAAGCATTATCCTGGCAGTGTACAATGTTAAAGTACGCAATATGGCAGTGTTTGTCAACTTATAAAATAAGTCTAGCCTCAGGCTGGGCTGCGGGGGAAGAAAAGCCTTCGAAACTAGTTATGGGTAAAATGTACAAATAGAGTACAAGAAGTTACATTTACACTATTCACAATCAGCCTTATCTTCTCATCTGATATTCTAATTCTCATGACATTCCTAACTTTCACATACAATTAAAACTGCAAATATATAAAATTTTCCCTAGAAGGGCTCAGAAAATTCCATTCTGATTTAAGCACCAATGGCATTTCTCAGTTCCAGTACTTTATTCACTGCGGATGTCCTCACACAAGTTCTCAAGTTTGTCTAGGTCCTCCTGCAGTTAAAAAGAAAAGCATATAATAGTCATAAGAATTTTCATATGTAATTCTTAGCATAAACTACGTAAGTGTTAATGGAAAATAATTAACAATTATGCTAAGTAAAATCCTTAACATACATAGTCTCTACTAATTTGAAAATTTACATGATGTGATTATATTCACTGCTAACCATACCCTTTCTAACATTCCAATCAGTGACTACTGTACATTAAATAACTACAGTACAGTACAACAATAACAGATGTTATATATTTACCTTCTTTTCATTCATATCATAAATAATTATAATCAATTCTCTTCGTCATCAGTGGGACCATCAACACAAATTTAAACACCTCAACATCAAGAGTTCCTTTTTTTGCTATTTTGGTAAATGATACAGTAAAATAGGTTATATATACTATATAATGGATTTTGCTAAATTAGTGCCAATTTTTTTTTTTTTTTTTTCAACAAGTCAGTCGTCTCCCACCGAGGCAGGGTGACCCAAAAAAGAAAGAAAATCCCCAAAAAGAAAATACTTTCATCATCATTCAACACTTTCACCACACTCACACATTATCACTGTTTTTGCAGAGGTGCTCAGAATACAACAGTTTAGAAGCATATACGTATAAAGATACACAACATATCCCTCCAAACTGCCAATATCCCAAACCCCTCCTTTAAAGTGCAGGCATTGTACTTCCCATTTCCAGGACTCAAGTCCGACTATATGAAAATAACTGGTTTCCCTAAATTTTTTTTTTTTTTTTTTTTTTTTATCACACTGGCCGATTCCCACCAAGGCAGGGTGGCCCGAAAAAAAAAAACTTTCACCATCTTCCCACTCCATCACGCCCATCCCAAAAGGGGTGCTTTACACTACAGTTTTTAAACTGAAAAATTAACCCCCCCCTCCTTCAGAGTCAGGCAGGGTACTTCCCATCTCCAGGACTAAAAGCCCCGGCCCCCTTTTTTCCCCCTTAACCCCTTTCAAAAATTTTTCCCTTTGTTTCACAACCCCAACAGAACTCAAATTAAAAATTTTTTGGGTCTCCATTCACTCCTACAAAAACACGCTCACGCATGCCGCGGGAAAAGCCCAACCCCCCTTCGCACAAAAAAACCCCCTTTTAACCCCCTCCCCCCAAACCCCTTCCTAGGCCGCCCCCTACCCCCCTTCCTTCCCCAAACAGACTGTTTACACTCTTGAAGTCATTCTGTTTCGCCCCCTACTCCTAAAATTTTCCGAACCACCCTCAACACCCTTCCTCGGGCCCTCTGGACAAAAATTTTTGGTAATCCTGCACCTCCTCCAAACTTCCAAACTCCCGAATTCTCTCATTATATTCACACAACACATTCCCCTCAGACATGACATCTCCACTCCCTTTCCAGCCTTCCCCCCTCGCTGCAACATTCATCACCCACGCTTCACCCCCATAAAAGGGAGCTTTGGGTAAAACTATACTCTCATAAAATTCCCCTCTTTGCCCCCAAAGGAAACAAATTTTTCTTTTCTCCACAAAACTCCAAAGTGCACCACTCACTCTTTTTCCCTCAAAATTTTCTATGATTCCCCAACTTTCATAGACCCCATCCGCTGACACGTCCACCCCCAAAAAATCGAATACGTTAAACCTCCCCCCATACCCTTTTCCCCTCCAATCTGATTATTAAATCTTTCTCACCTAATTTTTTTTGTTACCCCCCAAAAACCTTACTCTTTCCTGATTCCCCTTTTTAAATTTTTTCTTCTTTTGCACACCCAAACCAAAATTTCATCCCCCAAATCTCTGCAACTTTTTTCAGAATTTTCCCAAGAGACAGGGGTCATCACAAAGAGCAGCGGGGACAACCCCACTTTGTTTGTGATTTTTTACCCTTTTAAAACTCCACTCCTCTTCCCAAAACCCTCGCTTTTTACTTCTCTTAAAACCCCCCATCTTTAAAAATATTTTTAAACAACCACGGTAACATCACACATCCTTGTCTAAGGCCTATTTTTACGGGAAAAAATTTTCCCTCTTTTTTCCTACAAAAATCTAACTTGAGCCTCACTATCCTCGAAAAAACCCTTTCACTGTTTTTCAGTAACCTACCCCCAAACACCATACACTTGAAACACCCTGCCACTTTCCCCCCTATCCCCCTGTCATACCCCCTTTTCCAATCCATAAATGCCAAAAAAGACCTTTTGGGCCTTATCTAAATACGGGTTCACTTATATGTTTCACGAAAACCCACCGGGTCCACACACCCCCTACCTTTCCTAAAGCCTCCTTGTTCATCTGCTATCCTTTTCTCCCGTCCTTACTTTTAAAATTTTCCTTTCAATTATAACTTCACCATACACTTTACCGGGGTACCTCAACAAATTTAAAATCCCCCTATAATTTTTGCCCTCTTTTTTCCCCTTTGCCTTTAAAAAAAAGGAATTTATGCATGCTCTCTGCCAATCCCTAGGTCCCTTACCCTTTTCCATAATTTTTTAAAAAATTTGAAACCAACCATTTCCAAAAACTATTCCCCACCTCCCTTTTTAACATTTATCTTTACCCTTTCAATCCCGGCTGCCTTCCCCCCTTTTCTTTTTTAACCTACTCCCTTTAAACAATTTCCCCCCCACACTCACAACGGGCCTTTTCCCCTCACCCCCAACAAATGTTTTTTTCCCCTTCCCCTATACACGAAATAAACAGCTTCCCAAATCTTCACAACTTTTAAACCAATTCCTAAAAAATTTTTCCCCCACCCTTCCCACTACCAAAAAACCCTCCTTTTAATAATTTCTCCCCCTCCTATTTTTAACTGACAAACCCTTTGTTCTCAAAGGCTTTTTTTTAACTTGTTAATCTCACTCCAAAACTTTTTCTTTTTTTTAAACAAAATTTTTTTGGGAAAACATTTTAAACCCACCCCTCCATTTCCCTCTCTTTTTAAACATTGCTTAAAACCACTCTCTTAACTTCTCTCTTTTTCCCCCCATATACTCTTCCCTCCTTGCATCATTTTTCTACTTTGAAAAAACTTCTCATATGCTAACTTTTCTCCCTTACTACTCTTTTTACATCATCATTCCACCAATCGCTCCTCTTCCTCCTGCCCCCCAAACTTTCCTGAAACCACAAACTTCTCTAAAACATTTCTAACACTACATTTTTAAACCTACCCCATACCTCTTGGGCCCCCATTGCCAAATGCTCTAAATTAGCCCATCTTTTCCTCCAATAGCTTTTTAAAATTTTAACCCTAATTTGCCTCCTTTTTTTAGTTTAAAAACCCCTTCACCTTCCCCTTTTCCTTCCCTGATGTTTCTATTCTCCTTGTATCCCATTTTACCTTTTACTCTCTTTGTACAACAACTAGAAAGTGATCTGATAAATCTGTGCCCCTCTATAAACATGACATCCTGAAGTCTACTCAAAGGTAAAAATTTATCTACCAAACATAACCCAACAAACTACTGTCATTTTGCCCTACATCATATCGTGATACTTATTTATCCTCTTTTTTTTAAAAAATTTTTCCCTTTCAAAACTAAACCCCTT